TCTGGATGTCATTTTGTGTTGAAATATTTACCACTTTTGTGGACCTGAAGAACTGCCTACTGATGCAAAACATTCAAAGGAAAAAATAATGAAGTTACAAATGACAAATGTCATGTGTATGTGTGTATAAACAGCCCTAACAGCTTTATTGTGTGTAAAGCGATATTAAGCCAAATTTTCCTAGTTTTCGCCATATAAATCATAAAGGAAGCAATCCTTCCATTTTCCTGACATCATCCATAAGGAACTGCTTCACAACTTTCGTCGCATTCATGTACCATCATTTAGTGTTAAAATATCACGTACTTTCATCAGTGATTAGTATCAGCATACCTTCACTCCAGTCGTCCAAGTTTGTAGAAGCGATTCAGTCCTCCTCCTATATAGATGCTCATTAAAAGTATTAGTAAGTACATGTTCACTCCAGTTAACGCAGTTTCATGGCTGTCTCTCACTACTAATGTAGTTGCTCAGGGACATACAGTTCTTCGAACTTCGTGCTGCTGTTAGATACCACTCCTTGAGGATCGCCTGGTGTCTCTGAGAAAACGTCGGGGACTCATTGTGGATAGCGAATAATAATAGTTAACTTTATATCTGTGACAGAATATAATGTGTATGTCCAGCGAGAGGGTGCCTTCGAAGCCTCCGCTGAATACCACATCAAAAATAATAATGATAACATGATGGCGAAACTGCACAGTGTATTGAAAGAAAAACGCATTTCTCACTTTACAACAGCAGCACTATTGCACCGGTCCCTTGCTTCTAGGCACCTAGGGGGCCATTTAAGCATGTCACGGCTCCATTATATTTAAGCGCCTACAGTGTATATGACAAAGGATGGCGCCTTAAACTTGGGTTTAACAAAAGCATAGTCAACCAAACAAAGTTGCCACTACCCGTAGGCAAATAAAAGACAAAATATAACCTGGATGTCCTGGGGTGAGGCTTTTGATGGCGCCGCTGACTATATTACATTTAAAAAATAATACCTGGCTGAAATGAAAAAAATACGCAGAGTAAAGAAGGAAAAATCATTTCACACTTACACACAAACATCATAATATTTGGTTGCAAATAAACATATGTTTAACGGAAGTGTGTGACCCGGTCTTGCATCTTATGTACTGCAGACGCTTAAATAACATGGAGTTGTGACCTGCTTAACTGACCCCTTAGGTGGCTAGAAGAAAAGAAGGCGATGCAATAGTGCTGCTGTGAAGTGCGAAAAACATTTCTATTCTTTGCACTCTATATTTTCGCCGTTTCAATCTACTATGATTATCAATTTTAACTTTACATCGTTTTCAAGATTTTTAGTACAGTCATATTTGCGATCATGATTGATGGAATCATTCGTCTGTTTGCGTTCTTTATGTTCAGTGCGGGTAATGTATAATCCACGGTCAGTGAAATAATGCTGAAGAAAAAGATGCCTGTAAGGTTTTTATGATTAAGTAACCGGAACACCGGTGTCAAGCCAAAGGTAATATTAGAAAGTTAGAAGAAGGTTATGAAATCCAGGGAATTTGCAAACTTGTAGATAATGTGAGCCACCGGGTAACACCGAAGACATCATATGCAAACTAATCTTTCTTTGAGAGATACTTGGACTTCCACCTTCGAGCATTTATGCATTTCCGGAAGATCATCAGATGCCACCATCCCTACAGACGAGGCAGCCAGTGCATTAGAAATCACTACATACACTTTCTTTTCGTGTACGTTTTATACATCTTTCTATATATGTTTCCGGGTTCTAGAACACAGGACATAAACAGCATCTACAAAGAACATTTTTAGGCTTAGAAACAAGTCTGATTGGGAGTTAGGCGAACCTTTCGACCGCATTCAGCAAAAGGGCTTATCGGCTAACTGATGATCGGAGACGACGCATTTGTCTCAACTGAAATGAATAAGATCAGAAATGAATAACTAGTCCAGACTGCTAAGGTAAAGATTGATGATTTACTATCATTTTTAATTCTAAAATCAACATTAGCCTTTTTCGATCCACTGCTGAGTGAAGACCTCCGCAAGACCTTGCCATAAAATTCAGTCTGTTGAAATTCTAATCCGCATCGCTCGAACAATTTTCTTACGCTCATCTTGCCATCAATCTGAAGGTATTCTCTTCACACTTTCTTGAAACCCAGTTCAGAATCTCTCTGCAAGAGCTAGAAAAGGTCCATTCTTTTTGCAGCGTGTCGAAATCATATCCGTTTCAACTTCCTCGTTAGTAAAGAAACATCATGGACTCTTGTTTTTGCTTTCATTCACTCGCTTGTCTTCCTGTTATTCTCAACATACGCGTTTCCACTTTTTGTACAATTTGTAACTTGTAAAAGGCTCTCAAGCTTGGAATCTATTTTGTGTCCATACCAGCACCGTAGCATGCATTGTCGAATATTTACGGTTTGAAAGACAGAGGTAGTACCTAGAAAAGAACGCATTCCATGCTCCAAATGAGCCTCGTGTCATTTTGATTCTTCTGTTGAATTCGCAAAGCCGGTTGCAGAGACTGCTTGTCCAGAAAAACGAGTACAGATGCAGTTTTTCAAATTCAAGCCTAAATCCACTTCAGCAGGAGGTGGCGTCATGTAGCTGTCGAACGTGTCTTGAGTTTTCTTAAGGTTCATTTTCAAGCTTGCCTTCATGATAGAATTTTTATTTTAGGGAAATGCTCACGGCATCGTAGGAGAAACAGCCCTCTCCTTCTACAACCATCGCTGAGTTCTTCCTTCTACGTTTCATGCCTCTTTTATGGGCGATGCCTGCCATTTTGTGGGTCTGCGTGATGGTCGAAGTCGATGGAACGTTACTTATTTTCAATCGGTTTATCTAATCGGCCAATGTTTCTAAACTCCTGTTTCAGACTTCCATTCCACTACACATGAACTTCGTTTTAGGAACGCCAACTAGCTGATCACAGCGGGCGATATAACTATACATTTCCTATGCGATTCCCTTGAATGATGCTTGTCTTGTTACTAAGTCATTGTTAAAAACATGATCGAAAGTCGCTTTCGAAGGTCAGATTATTAAAATATAGCAAATTACGCTCTTTATTCTAAAATCTTATAATGGATATATGGTCTCGAGAATAGCTGCACAGTTTTATGCATTGTCTGATATCTTACTTTGAAAACAAGTTAACTTCATGTCAGCCGTACGTGCTTCAGGAGTTAGTTTTGGTCACAAATAAGATTAATTCTTTCACTATAAAACTGATTTGTAGCACTGAGGCGATGCAGCAGCAAGTTCAGGCAAAAAGGCTAACTGCTACTCTGTACTATTCTGTTCAAAGTTTGCATAAGCAACCAATAACGATTGAGACCATAGCTTAAAATCTACTTAAAATATAAACATCGGTTCCGAAGCCGAAAATGGAAAACAATGAAATTTTTGAAACTCAGCTGTTGCCGGTCGGAAGTGCGGATAAGAATGCAGGAAGGTTAGAGACCGTAGCAAAATCTCAGGGAAATTTAGCCACCTGCTCTTCATGTATTGACGTCACTGAACATTACACCGGCTCGGTCGTCGCCCGGGTTACCAAGGGCCGCGCAGGCTGTTGGGGGACTGAGGCAGACGGCGGAAAGTCGGCGATCAGAACCTGCTCACTGCCCTCTGCCAGCCGGGGGCGTGGCAGCACCAGGATGGCTGACGAAGACCGACGCAACGACGACGAAGATACCAGTCAGCAACGGAGTCGCTACCCGTTCTGA